TTATCATACATAAATTAGGTTCATTAAGAAAAAAAAATCTTTTTCACATAAAGAAAGTGTGATTTGGCCTCCAATACGTAAAAAAGTAGTTTGTGTAGCCTAGTGCTAACCCATACACGAAACATAATTTGTATGTGGCCTTGATCCGTGATAAAAACCACATACGAAATAGTTTGTGTGTAGCCCTAATCCTGATAAGAACCCACATACGAAACCTAATTTGTGTGTGGTCCTAATAAGAGTCCATATACGGAACGTATTCTGTGTCAATCCACAGCAAGAATCCACAAACGAAACGCATTTTCTTGTCAAGTTGGATATTTTAATAAAGTATGGGGAAAAGAAAAAAAACGGATAATAAACTTAAGAAATACAATATGCAAAGAAAGGAGTTAGCCGAGAAAAGACGAAAGAAAGAAGAGTTTGAAGAGGAAATTAGGGAAGAAGTATGTGTTGAAGTTCAGGATTTGGGAGAGGATAGTGAGCTCGATAGGGAAGAGGAAGATAAGGAAGTGGTCGACTATAAAAATGAAAGAATATGTGAACAGTTACTTACCATATCTCTCATGCGAAAGAAGGAAGAAAAGAAACCACGAATAATTAAAGGATTGCCGAAAACAACTTATTATCGCAAGTTCGGCTCTTCCGGTACTCTGACCAATGCTGCTAAGGGAACCTGTAAAATTATGAGTTTTTTTGGAAACATAAAGTTAGTTAGTTAGGGTTTTATTGTTTATAATTAATTTCATAATTTTATTACTTGTTCAAAATATCTGGAGTGTCTTCAATTATAAGGGCCTATTTTTACAATTTTTCAAAAAATGAGTTTTTGTTAGATTCATATAAAATTTGACATGATTGACATTTTTCAATTATAAATGAAAGTCGATTTTCTTAATAAAAAATAGAGATAATGTAAAATAAAGATTACACAAGGCTGCCTAAGGCCAAGCATATCACGAGATTACCTGATAGTCACCTGTTACCATTAACCAATCAAAATTGTGAAATTTGATTAATCCCGGATCAGTTTGAAAATCAAACCAAATGTTTAAACTCAATTATCTCAAAATGAGATAAATGTAAAAATGGGCCCTTTTAATTGAAGACACCCCATCTGGTATATTATTATATAAGGCTTTATTAGTGTTAATAAAAAAAAAAAAAAACTGTGCTTTTGAACAAGCAATGGAATTTGAAATGAGTATATAAGATTCTAATTTATTAATTTATTTATTCTTAAGTGATCTTACAGCAACTTTAATGGATGATGTATCATCTGTTACAATATATGAAAAAATGGCACCTTTAGTGAATGAAGCTTTATCAGTTACAGTGTCTGAAAAAATGAACCAACTTCAGGGATATCTGATACAAAATGGGTGTATAATCACAGCCTTTAAGTATAATGAGCGTCGGGCAGTTTATGAATATTTTGTACTGTTAGAAGATGGGTATGGAAAGGAGAATGCAAGCCAGGAGGCTGCGTATAAAACCTATATGACACCAAAACCATATACTGCTAGAAGGATTCGTTCCTTAGCCAAATATTATTTGCATAATGCATCATTTTTATTGTCACGCCGTGGAAAGCACCAGAAGCACAAATGACTTGTTGATGATGAAGACATTGCAATGCAATATAAATGTTGGATACGACAAAATTCAGGTGTAAATGGTGTTGATTCATCTGAGTTTCAAGGATACATCAATAATGTTATTCTTCCAAAGTATACAGGAGGAACAAAAAAAACAATCAGCTTGCGAACAGCTAAAAGGTGGCTGAATATCTTGGGGTTCCAATTTAGGCTATACTGAAAAGGAATATATGTCGATGGACATGAGCGAGATGATGTGGTTGCATATCGAAAAAAGTTTTTGGAGGAAATGAAAGGCTTGGAACATCAAATGGCGAGGTATGAATCTAAATGATATGGGATCTTTACTAACAAAGGGACCTATCGGGACTATGTAAATCATAGTCCCGATGGGTCACTTTGTTAGCAAAGATCCCATATGTAATAATTTGAAGTAAATTTCAAAGCGATTTAAAACAAAACTTTATCACTTTCAGGTATGAAGGAGAAGCAATGAAAAAAATTCCACCAGTGCTTAAGGCTTGTGAACGAGAATTAATCTTTGTAACGCATGATGAATATGTTTTTTACTCGAATGATGGAAAAAGAGACATTTGGGTACCAGATGGGTGTATGTCATTATGAAAGAAAGGAAATGGAAGATTGAGCATGGTAAGTAAATTTCTTCTAGAGGAATGTGGTCGGTTGAAACTAAGTGAAGAAGAGATAAGGATACATCCAAATATTCCTACAGAGGCGTGTTGCTATCTAATGCCCGGAAAGAACCAAGAAGGGATTGGACAGTTAATAATTTACTAGTGCAAATTAGGGATAAAGCAATTCCCATTTTTGAAGCAAAATTTCCAAATACAACAGCTATGTTTGCTTTCGACAATAACACAAACCATGGGGCATATGCAGAAGACGCTCTTATCACCACTAGAATGAACCTAAAGCCTGGTAGAAACCAACCAATAATGCGATCAACAACTTTTGTGGGGGCCGATGGACAGTTGAACACTCAACATATGGTATTTGAAAAAGACTATGTATTCGAGGAGGATGAGGATTATAATGAAACTATGCAAGAAAAGCCAAAAGGTATTAAAGTAGTATTAAAAGAAAGGGTCTTTGGAAAGACGTGTTACTTTTAGAATGTAAGGCATGTAAGGGTAAGAAGTTTTCTAATGATAATTCACGGGTAGACTGTTGTGCAAGAAAGATAATGGTGTCTCAACCTGACTTTATTGCACAAAAGTCAGCCATCGTAGAACTGATAGAGGGTGCTGGCCATATTTGTATTTTCTATCCGAAGTTCCATTGCGAACTTAACTTTATCGAAATGTATTGGGGGCTGCTAAGAACTATACAAGAAAGCATTGTGATTACACTTGGGCTGGTTTGCAGGAAACTGTTCTACGAGCACTTGATTCGGTCGATGTCATTAAAATTAGGAGATTTGCGCAAAAGTCGTGGAGATATATGGAATTATATCGTGAGGGATTAACAGGAAAACTGGCAGAATATGCTTGCAAGAAATTCAAGTCACACAGACGGATACCCAAGAATGAGTTAGCTCAGTTCATACAAGAGAATTATGAAGAGCAATAGATAGTAAAGGTCA